TTTGACCTTTCACCCTAATCTTTCGACGATCTACAATTTCTTCATTCTCAAGAGGGCAACTCAAAGAAACACTGAACGTTCTTCAAATGTAACACTTGAACAAACCTGTGCACAGCACCGTGTTACATTCTAGTCAAAGAGCACTGAAGTAAATAATGTTGACTTTCCAAATATAACTTACACGTTTTGTGAATGAACTGTAACTTGTTGACAATTATTTTGTTTTGAAGTGATGTTGTTTGACTCTCTTTTCTGTTATTGTTTATAGAGCTAGGTGAAACTTTTTCTGTTATTGTTTATAGAGCTAGGTGAAACTTTGTATATTATTGTTTATAGAGCTAGGTGAAACTTTTTCTGTTATTGTTTATAGAGCTAGGTGAAACTTTTTCTATTATTGTTTATAGAGCTAGGTGAAACTTTGTATATTATTGTTTATAGAGCTAGGTGAAACTTTTTCTGTTATTGTTTATAGAGCTAGGTGAAACTTTTTATATTATTGTTTATAGAGCTAGGTGAAACTTTTTCTGTTATTGTTTATAGAGCTAGGTGAGACTTTGTATATTATTGTTTATAGAGCTAGGTGAAACTTTTTCTGTTATTGTTTATAGAGCTAGGTGAAACTTTTTCTGTTATTGTTTATAGAGCTAGGTGAAACTTTTTCTATTATTGTTTATAGAGCTAGGTGGAACGTTTTCTATTATTGTTTATAGAGCTAGGTTAAACTGTTTCTATTATTGTTTATAGAGCTAGGTGAAACTTTTTATATTATTGTTTATAGAGCTAGGTGAAACTTTCTCTGTTATTGTTTATAGAGCTAGGTGAAACTTTTTCTATTATTGTTTATAGAGCTAGGTGAAACTTTTTATATTATTGTTTATAGAGCTAGGTGAAACTTTTTCTGTTATTGTTTATAGAGCTAGGTGAAACTTTGTATATTATTGTTTATAGAGCTAGGTGAAACTTTTTCTGTTATTGTTTATAGAGCTAGGTGAAACTTTTTATATTATTGTTTATAGAGCTAGGTGAAACTTTTTATATTATTGTTTATAGAGCTAGGTGAAACTTTTTCTGTTATTGTTTATAGAGCTAGGTGAAACTTTTTCTATTATTGTTTATAGAGCTAGGTGAAACTTTTTCTGTTATTGTTTATAGAGCTAGGTGAAACTTTTTCTATTATTGTTTATAGAGCTAGGTGAAACTTTTTCTATTCTTGTTTATAGAGCTAGGTGAAACTTTTCTATTATTGTTTATAGAGCTAGGTGAAACTTTTTCTGTTATTGTTTATAGAGCTAGGTGAAACGTTTTATATTATTGTTTATAGAGCTAGGTGAAATGTTTTATATTATTGTTTATAGAGCTAGGTGAAACTTTTTATATTATTGTTTATAGAGCTAGGTGAAACTTTGTATATTATTGTTTATAGAGCTAGGTGAAACTTTGGCCGCCCAAAGAAGACACAGAGAAGGTCGAAGTTTGTGGAGATGCACCGTTGAGGCCCTTTGCTTCACTAGGAGCTGAAAGGAATGAGTCAAGTCAAGGGTATATGTTACTTTCAAGTGTATTGAGATATTTAGAGAGATTCTCCGATACTTGTGTATATTTTTTAGCCAGTAGTTCTGAAAGTAGCTCTCACGAGCCAAAAGTGTTCCCGAAAATTGCATACTACATCACATATGTGCAGATACTGTATGTTCACCACTGTCATTGCTCTCTCTCTCGCTCTGCTGTGTGTGCATCTTGCTAGCTGTCACTCAAATGGCGAGGGTCTGTGGCTCATTGGCTGATACTCGAATTGCTTGGGGGATGGCCCATTTGGGGGGAAAATGTAGAGAAAATGGCGCTGCACAGCTTCTAGAAAACTGGCGCTTTGAAACTAGGGGTTTTGTGGCTAATTGAGGTAAAACAGTAATTCTGCTCATAGATTATGCGTGTATGAACTACACATTGACACATCCAACCCAAAGCGGGAGGTTTAAAAAAATACTTACTAGTCCCTAATGTTCTTTAAATGCACTTTAGATTGATCTCATTAGCTGTTACAGTTGTGTACAACTCTAGTTATAGTCATGAAACAGTGACCCTTCAGTTTATACATGATGAGCAATTCACTGCATAGAAAGAAATAACACTGAGAGACGTTTTGGGGGTGGTATATATTTCTTATGGTTTACAAATAACGTATATTTTTAAGCGTCAGATAGTACATTACACATTATCATTTTCAGAGCAGAAATAAATATATTGCACTTAAAAAATCAACGAAACAAAATCTTGTTAATGTCATACTGTATATTTAGATTACACGTAATAATAAAAACACAACAAAAACATGACAGAATCCTTGCAGATCTATTTCCCATGGCATACTTTGAGTGTGCGTACACATTGCTCAAAATGGAAAGTTGAAAGTTACAATCCTTCCTCCTACAAAGACATGGAGAGATTGGCAGCTGCATACAACAGGAAATGTTCAAAGATGGGGAAGTCCAGATGTAGGCTATAGATTGACGAAAACACCAGTTGAAGACCTTTGTTAGAGGTCTTATGCGAAATTGTTTAACATTGAAAACACTTGCCTCTTTCAAGTGAAAGCCTTAGAGTTAGTGTCCTCACTGGCAATCATCACCTCTGATAGCACCTCAATAAAGCATCCAAGTCCATGCATTGTGTAGGCTACTGAGAGTTGTCTTACAACACGTTTTCAACAAAAAGAAAACTGCAAAACTCATTCCAACTCCAAACCTGCTGACTGCTTGTGGACACATGGCATGCAAGTGGTGAGTAAGTGGCAACAGTAATGTAGGCAAAATGCAGAGTTAGTGCCCACAATAATATGGCCAAATTGTAGCCTAATTTATGCGTGTGTTTTGGCTCCCTGTGTTTGGTTCGTTCAGCATAATGAAATTGAGAGACTCAGCATTGAAAACAAAACTCACAATGAAATACTGTATTAGACCTTCACTTCCATCCAAGTTTGTCCCATTTTGCCAAAAGAAAGATCTTCATACTAAAAATAATTGTCAGGATATCTTAGCTGTGAATTAGAGGTTTACAAAGCTGCCTTTTGTGTTATTTTCTTGCCAAAATAAGAACGGGCATTTTACAATAACATTGGTTTTACGGTGGTAACAAACTGCATGAGGCATCATTGAGTGGATGAATCAATCTGCAATTATAATTTTTTTGAGAGGAGTGACACTACAAAGGCACCGATGCATACACTGCATTTTGTGTCACTATCTTAGCTTCTGTGTCATTTGGTTAGAAGGGGCTAGCTGACGAATCACCAACGGTATGACAACCAAAACAAATATCCCTCCTCTAAGTGGCGGCACCACTGAGTCATTATTTACAGGTGTGGACTTTCTCCCAGAGTGCTGTAGTGTCGACACAGCCTGAGGCAGACATAGATCAGGCTACAGTAATCAGGCTATAATGTGGCGCCAGGGGTTAGGTGTTGGTTAGGTGGTGAATCAAGCTTTAGGACAATACAGCAAGAGAAAGTCCATCTTAGCCTTTCATGGCTACAGAGTCTGCTGGTTTTCTCTCCCTCTTGGTACTTCATTGATACATTACTGAGTTGCCATTGATTGGTTAGAGAAGACAATCCGCTGGTGTTGGGGATACGATACGACGTAGTGTAATTTTAACCCTCTGTGACTTTGATATAGAGGTCCTCCAAAGGTCTTCTAGGGCCCATCCACATGTGACATATGAACCAACATCTCTTTTCATAGACCCCACAAATCTAATACATGTTTTACTAATTGGATGCAATACATACAAAAATATGAGGTGAATATAAGCTTTTCGGATGACAAAGCAAACTGAAAAAGTAGTTTGAGACCCAGTCAGGGTGAGAATTGTTTTAAACAAATATTTTCTGTGTTATCTGTTGCAAACAGCATGCGTCCTATGATATGGCACTCTAATATGACATTTGTCTTATAGTGTGTGTGCGTGATGTGTGTGTATGTGGACATCTTTATGTACTGCTATCAAACATGATCATCTTCCACTATAACTTCTTCACTGTACACATGGCTGGCTTTTTAGATGGGAAAGAGACAATTGGCTTCTCTCTGTCTCTAGGGCATCTATGTGCACAAATCTGACTACCATGGCAACAGCCAGCATGACTGGAGGAGGCTTTAGGATTCTGCCTGCAGAGGAAGCTTGGCGGCGTTTGAGTTCAAGCAGGAGAGGAGAGTTGTTGCTTCTACCCTCCCTGTGAGTTTTGGTCAGCAAGCAGGGGGAATCCTTTGACTAAAATGGCTGCCATTCCTCCATGCCCCAGCAGCTGGAGTGAAGACAGTTCTCCGCCGTGGCCACAAGCGGTGCCCAGGATTGGAAGTTGTGCACTCCCGTAACTTTTGGAGTCCCATGTTCTTCATTTTCCTCAGAAACTGTGAGAGAACTAACAATTACCACACCCTCTAGTTTTAATGTCCGTAAGCCAGACAGTTCACTTGTTCTCCTGTCCATGCTTTTCTGGAGAGTGGGTGCAAAATTAATATTGTGACCAACAGTTGGAGGGCAGGGGCAAACGACAGTCATCACAAGCAGACCCTTACCTCTTTCCCACAACGCATCACTTTGCATGGTCATCAGTCCTCAGCATCTCTGTTGTAGATTTTTTTTTTTACCTGGATCATCCGTTTTCATATCTGGGTCGTAAATGTTCATATGCAGGTCATTAGTGTTCATATCTAGTGTTCATATCAGTCTGTGGGTCTCTGTGTCTGTTTCACCAGGTCCCGTTGGAGTCTGTTTCCTCTCCGGTTCAGCTGTCAGCATGCAGGGCAGCAGCCAGGCAGCCTCTCCAGGTCGTCCAGTCATTCGCCTCGGCCAGGTGGCTTATTATTTACAAAGACATGGTGGTGATGATGCTGAAGGGGACAAATCGGTGAGCCTATTTACTTGTGTGTGGAAGTGTGTGTCTATAAGCGTAGTTGTAGCTGATGAGGGGCTACTCGGCCAGGCAGTCACCCCAGAGGGAGTCATACAAAGGGGGTCATGACGGTGGAGGAGTGGCGCAGTCCCTGGATGGCAGCGTAGGGGCCCTGCTGGAAGTAGTGGTGGTAGCGGGGCATGTGGAAGGAGGGGAAGGAGGGCCCGCTGCCCTGCATGGTGCCCGCAAGGGCCGAGTGCGTCAGGGGCATGCCCAGCCGGCTGTAGGGGGGCAGGGAGCCCTGGATGGGGTGGGGCAGGGGGGTGGCCAGGGAGTTGCTGCTGGAGCCCATGGAAGAGAGGGACTGGGGGTGCTGGAAGCCTGAGAAACCAGAGGTGGCGGTGACCCAGGAGCTCAGGGAGAGGTTGTCAGAGGCGGTGAATGCAGAACCTTAGAGTGAGATGGAGAGAGAGACGCTGTTAGACATCTCTTACTATAATACTGTCACTGATGTAGGCCTTTTGGTAGGCCGTCACTGTAAATAAGAATTTGTTCTTAACTGACTTTACTAGATAAATAAAGGTTAAATAAAAAATTAAAATATTTTGCACTACATTGACTCAGCAGCATTTTATTGCTCCATTTATGTGAATGACTGTTGTTTGAAATTGTTGGTAAAATAATGTGGTAGTAGTACCTCTGAACGACCCTCATTTGGCTCATTAGCATGATGTACATCTTGTGAAATGTGTGTGTGATGACATCATCAGTGTGTGACAAACTCTCTTACCCCTGTGTGCGGCGTGGACTTCATCCCCCAGTGTCTCCTCCTCTCCTGCGTAGGTGCGTATTGGTGACCGGGCGTATGAGTGCTTGTGGATCAAACTCTCAACACTTTCCCTGCAGCAAAAACCAAAGAGAAAGGCCCAAAATATATCTCTATGTTCACACTTAAATATATTGCTACATTCACACCAAAATATGAAAATTCCTATTCTAATATAAAATGTACATTCAGTCCAATATATACTGTATCTGCATTCACACCAATACCCCAAAACAACTCACCAAGATATATCATGTCTTTGCAGTAACCTATAACCCAAATTATATCTTTTATAGTTACACTGATGACAGACATTACTGAATGTACAGTATGTAGACAATAGATACACAATATATCAGCACAAACAATATATCTGCACACAGTCAATATATCTGTACACACAGTCAATATATCTGTACACACAGTCAATATATCTGCACACAGTCAATATATCTGTACACACAGTCAATATATCTGTACACACACAGTCAATATATCTGTACACATTAGGTATGTAAAAATAAAGAGCCCATTACATTATAGATATAAAGGCAAGTGTATGGTTTATAAAATGCCAGTGCAACAAAATCACACTAAATGTAGATAAAGATAGAAAACACCAGAATACACAACATGTCTCAATAGTTGTGCTACCCCTTTGGAGCATAAAAGCAAAGATCATTCTTTTCTAAGTATCAAAGTACATAATTAAAGCAGTGTGTGTGTGTGTCTTAGTCTTAGTGTGTGTACTCTAACAAAAAGTGCATTAGTTCCTGTGAGTCTTGTCAGACAGCGCCTCAGTGACACAGGGAGGGACAGATATGGTGGTGGTGGAGGAGGAGGGTTGGTTGGACAGGAGTGGTCTGCATCACAAGAGCCATGCATCCACATTAGCCCCCCAATTAGGTTAGGAAAGTGCAATATCTGTCAGCGGCGCAGTACAAATGTGTGTGTGTTTTTATCAGCTCTGGCCTGTCCGGCACAGAGGCCAAAGTAGGCCACGATGCAGGGGGCTGGTTTCAATCAGTCACAGCAGCCAATCAAATTACACCGTGTTTTAGTGCAGTGGCCGACTCCAGACTAATGTGATTTCTGCAGCTCTCTGAAGATCAATTGATCAGATCTAATTCACAGCCCTCAAAAAGAGAAAGCCAGAAAGGGGGAGTTGGTTGTCTGGCTGTCTCTTGGCAGTCTTTGACTTTGCTTGTTTGGTTGGGAAATGGCCTGGGATGGTCTGATTTATCAGCTGATTTTGGCAATAGTGCTGGAATTGGTTGATCTAAAAAAAAAGGTGTTTGTTTGGCTGTAGGTCATAAAATCCTTTGGATGGGACTCTGTGTGTGTGTGTGTGTGTGTGTGTGTGCGTGCGTGTGCGCGTGCGCGTGCGCGTGTGTGCGTGCGTGTGCGCGTGTGCGTGTGTGTGTGTGTGTGTGTGTGTGTGTGTGTGTGTGTGTGTGTTAGCCAGAAGTTTATACTAGGGTGGGTTGGCATTGCACCCTGGGAAGTCACTCAGATAACCACAAGATATCTATAGAAACAACAATTTCAGACAATTACTGGCATTGAAATAAAAACCAACACTATACAGTAACACAGTCCTCTATCTAGTGGCAAAACGAATTCAATGTCCCCTCTCCTCCTTTTTCTCTTAATTTCTCTGTAACATACACACACGTATGCAAAACTGTACTACACACACACACACACACACACACACATGCATACCCCCCCTCCACACACACACTACTAATGAGCAGAAATAAATAAACAACCCGGCATGTGCACTTGCTAATGAGTAGCCTGTGTACACAGCTCCATAGCTAGCTCCTAACACGACTACGCTCACCCCTCTCTCCCAGTTCCATTCCCCTTGTTTATCTTATCCGCGCAGGACAGAAATAAACAAACAGGCAAGGACATAAAATTCCCTGTACCTCTCCATGTCCGTCAGTCGGGAGGAGTCTCGGAAGCCTTTCGCAAACGGGTTGCTGTCGATCTTCAGCTTGGTTATCTGGAAAGAAAGAGGCCCGCAAACAGATTAGATGCCATTTTCTCCTTTCTCTCTGTCTCAGACTCTTATCCCTCTCCCTTTCTGTCTGTCTCGCTCTCTCTATCTTTTTCCATGGGATAGCCAGACTAAACACACAAAGGGAGTCAGGGAGGGCCTGGGTGGCAGAACTGGCTTTAGACAGAGCTGAACACACTCCCTATGCATGCTGTCTGTAAACCAGCCACACAACCCCCTATATTCAACATACTGTATTGTCTCTACCCATGAACACTATCCAGCAACAGAACACGTCCTCCCTGGTGACCCCAGGGTCATGTTCACTAGGCACCATTCGGAAGAATGAAAGAGGGAGTAACGGTACCTGAACTGTAGTCAAATACAAAACGCTTGTTTTGGTTTTCCATTGTGTGCGTTAATAAATAAGACCCTGGTACAGAACAGTTGAGTAGTGATGTACTGCTCACCAGCTGGTTCTGGTAGGCTGTGACCGCCGTAAAGACAGTCTCGGTGAAGACGAAGGTGCGGAACTCCTCTGACTTAAGGTTGAGAAGGGAGGCGGTGTGGTCTTTCTTCTTGATAATGTGGACCCGCGGCTGGTACTTATGCATGGAGTTTAGAATGATCTATAGAGACACAGAGAGGGAAAAACACAGGGTTAGATAGATGAGAGAGATGTGGAGAGAGATGACAGAAAGTAGAAAGAGAGAGCATTGTGATAGAAGAGGCAGAGTGATAGAGCAAGCAGAAAGAGTGAGAGAGGATGACTGGGGTGGCAGTAGAGAGGAGTGTGAAAAGATAATCATGTTAACACTACGGAGTCTGAGAAACATTTTCCTCAGCTCTTAGCTGTTCTGCTTGATCTTGATCTTCTGTGAAGATGGCGCTGCAGTGGATAGCAGCCGTGTTACGGGTTCCTGACCAATTCTGCTATTTTGTGTGTTTTGTTTACGCTGATCTTAACTTTTTTTGTAAATAATGTCTCCGACATCACTTCCTATGACCGAAAACAGCTTCTGGACATCAGAACCGCTATCACTAATCTCGATCTGGACAGAAATGTCTACTTTAACGAGTCAGCAGCTCTGGACGTTTTGCTTACTCTGGACCAGGCCCTTATCCCCTGGAATCGAAAGAGGAAGCAGCGGCGAAAGAGAGGCAGGCGAACCGGCACCCTGACGAGACTGTCGGCGAGCAAATAGACTGCCATTGCCCTCTGTTCTTTTGGCGAACATGCAATCACTGGAGAACAAACTGGATGAGATCTGTTGGAGACTATCCTATCAACGGGACCTGAAACTGTAATATCCTATGTTTCTCCGAATCGTGGCTGAACGAGGACATGGATATACATCTCGCTGGTTTTTCTATGCATCGTCAAGACCGGATGGCAGACTCAGGTAAGACGAAGGGAGGAGGGGTGTGTCTCTTTGTTAACAACAGCTGGTGGGCAATCTCTAATGTTAAGGAAGTCTCAAGTTTTTGCTCTCCTGAGTTAGTATACCTCATGATAAGCTGCAGACCATACTATTTACCAAAAGAGCTTTCATCTATATTTTTCGTAGCTGTCTATTTACCACCACAAACCGATGCTGGCTCTAAGACAGTACTCAACAAGCTGCATAGGGCTATAATCAAACAAGAAAATGCACATTCAAAGGTAGAGTTTCTCGTGGCCGGTGATTTTAATGCAGGGAAACTGAAATACGTTTTACATTTTTACCAGCATATCAACTGTGGAACTAGAGGTGACAACTTTAGATCACCTTTATTCCACACACAGAAATGAATACAAGGCACTCCCTCGCCCTCCCTTTTGCAAATCAGACCATAATTATATCCTCCTGCTTCCTGCTTACAAGCAAAGACTCAAACAGGAAGTACCTGCCTAGGACTCTACCCACACACTTATGCATACTTCCACTGACACTCCAACACACACATACACGTACACACCCTAAATATGCCCACATACACATAACATGTAAACACATGCATACTGACGCCACACACACACACACACACACACACACACACACCACATACGCTGCAGCTCAGTCTATTATATATCCTGTTGCCTAGTCACTTTACCCCTACCTACAGTGCATTCGGAAAGTATTAAGACCCCTTGACTTTTTCCACGTTTTGTTACGTGACAGTCTTATTCTAAAATTGATTAAATAAATAAAAATCATCATCAATCTACACATAATAACCCATAATGACAAAGTTAAAACATTTTTTTTTTTATTTTTATTAATAACAAATGAAAAATAGAAATGCCTTATTTGCATAAGTATTCAGACCCTTTGTTATAACACTCAAAATTGAACTCAGGTGAATCCTGTTTCCATTGATCATCCTTGAGATGTTTCTACAACTTAATTGGAGTCCACCTGTGGTAAATTCAATTGATTAGACATGATTTGGAAAGGCACACACCTGTCTATATAAGGTCCCACAGTTGACAGTGCATGACAGAGCAAAAACCAAGCCATGAGGTAGAAGGAATTGTCCGTAAAGCTCCGAGACAGAATTGTGTCGAGGCACAGATCTGGGGAAGGGTACCAAAACATTTCTTCAGCATTGAAGGTCCCCAAGAACACAGTGGCCTCTATCATTCTTAAATGGAAGAAGTTTGGAACCACCAAGACTCTTCCTAGAGCTGGCCGCCCAGCCAAACTGAGCAATCGGGGGAGAAGGGCCTTGGTCAGTGAGGGGACCAAGAACCCAATGGTCTCTCTGACAGAGCTCCAGAGTTCCTCTGTGGAGATGGGAGAACCTTCCAGAAGGACAACCATCTATGCAGCACTCCACCAAGCAGGCCTTTATGGTAGAGTGGCAAGACGGAAGCCACTCCTTAGTAAAAGGCACATGACCGCCCGCTTGGAGTTTGCCTAAAGGCACCTAAAGGACTCTCAGACCAGGAGAAACAAGATTCTCTGGTCTTATGAAACCAAGATTGAACTCTTTGGCCTGAACGCAAAGCATCACGTCTGAAGGAAACCTGGCACCATCCCTACGGTGAAGGTGGCATCATCATGCTGTGGGGATGTTTTTCAGGGATGTTTTTAAGCGGCAGGGACTGGGAGACTAGTCAGGATCGAGGGAAAGATGAACTGAGAAAAGTACAGAGAGATCTTTGATGAAAACCTGCTCCAGAGCGCTCAGGACCTCAGACTGGGGTGAAGGTTCACCTTTCAACGATGAGGATAGCACAAGACAACGCAGGAGTGGCCTTCGGGACAAGTCTCTGAATGTCCTTGAGTGGCCCAGCCAGAGCCCGGACTTGAACCTGTTCGAACAGCAACGCTCCCCATCCAACCTGACAGAGCTTGAGAGGATCTGCAGAGGAAGAATACAGGTGTGCCAAGCTTGTAGCGTCTTACCCAAGAAGACTTGAGGCTGTAATCGCTGCCAAAGGTGCTTCAACAGAGTACTGATTAAAGGGTCTGAATACTTATGTAAATGTGATATTTCTGTTTTTGAATTTGAATAAATTTGCAAAAATTCAGAAAGCCTCTTTTTGCTTTGTCATTATGGGGTATTGTGCATAGATTGATGAGGATTATAAAAAAAATATTTAAAAAATTCAGAATAAGGATGTAACCTACCAAAATGTGGAAAAAGTGAAGGGGTCTGAATACTTTCCGAATGCACTATATATCTACATAGCTACCTCAATTACCTCCTACCCCTGCACATCCACTGCACATCGACTCAGTACTGTTACTTCCTGTATATAGCCATGTTATTTTTACTAGTTATTGTCATTCGTTATTCACTGTGTATTTACAGTATTCCTCATGTCACTATTTCTATTTTTATTTTATAGTTGTTATCTTTATCTTTAACTCTGCATTGTTGGAAAAGGACCCGTAAGTAAGCTTTTCACTGTTAGTCTACACCTGCTGTTTACGAAGCATGTGACAAATACAATTTGATTTGATGAAGAACATTTCTCCTTTATCTGACTCCATAGCCTATACAGTGGCTCAGCAAGAATGTTATAATGTGTGGCTGTGGGGAATTAGCCTGCTATACTCTGGTTCAGATTAATATGATTCAGATTCATACAGCATATGTGAGACTGGACTGGGCAAAAGCGATGTGGTGTGGTATGGTGTCCTAAGAACTAAGAGTTCCTGCCTGCCTTTATCAACATTCAGCTAAAATCCTCACAATTGACACATCTCAACTTAAACTTCTGCATGTATAGGAAGCAATGGGAATAAAAAACGAATTGTTGTTTGAAATATGCAAGCTTATCTCAAGACAGAATTATTGTTCCTGAGAATGATGAAACAGAGTGAGCTGTTGAAAGATGCCTGTTAAAAGCTGCCAGGTGCACTATAACCTGATGTGTCTTTATGTCAATGCAATTTCACATGACTAGTCTACAAAACGACATTCACTTTCAAGGTTTTCGAAAATGATTATATTTGAATGCCAATTATTGGTGGGGTTAAAAGCTTGCATAAATCTCTCTTAAATTACATATCGGTCACCGTTAGAGATATTTTTTTGATCAACAGAAAAAAACGTTTTTTTTATCCTATCCAATCAGCTACATCCGCCTTTACTTGCGTCATGAAAATCAAAATCCCATGACATCATTCACATTGTTTAGCAAATATCTATCTGGTGTTGTAATCATATCCCATTGCTCTCGCCTATAGGCCTACTCTTTTTATATATCGAATACCACGGACATGCCCTCGAAATTAAACGTGTTTGTGCGTAAATTCAAGGAGACGTTTTTCCGCACTACCTGTTGGTTTGGTATGGTGTAGGCTAATCAGAGTATGATGTTAGCCTAATAGTGTTTATAATGTAAAAGAATGGTGCTGCATGGGACACATATTGCATTATTGTTTTCGTTTCTGCACATAGTTTCTACTTATAGTTCTATAGTTTAGCACTTGTTTCTGCTTCTCGTAAACATGTAGGCAGTATTAATTTCCCTTACGGAAAGAAAATATGATTTGAATATAAAGAAAATATGAATTTAAATGTTAAAATGTAACTGGATCTTCACAGGTGAAACCAAGCATCATGTGGATTTTGAATCCAACACGTTACAAGTCTCTGATTTACAGTTGAGAACATTTAATTTCCCAATGACATGTGAAAGAGATTTGGAAAAAACAAATTTCCCATGGGAAACTTCCACGAGATTTTATGGAAAGTTTACTGAGCAATTATTTCATAAATCACCTGCAAGTATGTTTATTTATTTAAATCCATTATAATCCCATCTAAACACAAATAATTGCCCTACTTCTTTTAGAAATATCCCCCAAATTATCATTTTAATTTGTCAATATTGTTTACACTTTGAGATAATAATAATAATTCCAATATTGACTGCATGGGGAAACTCTCCACAAGTCCTTTGGTATTTAATGATCAGTTATACGACGAGGATAGCCCATATGGGCTTATCTCGGGTTAGGCTATACAGCTTTTATAGACTATAGTTCTAATGATTTAACATTTCAGTTAATGTGAGAAATAACATGAATATGCTTCAATGTTTCAATACCAATAACAAATCAATAACATACGTGTCCATGTTGGTCCAGTTCGTTGTTGGTGAGCTTTACTTTCTCGAAAGAAACCATTTGTTTGAGCAGCTGTTCCCCAGTGAAAGGAGAGTCAGGGTGCACGTATAACCTGCAATATAAATACAATATGTATATTAAAATACACAAGATAATTGAAAAGACCTATGCAAACACAGAAAAACGTATTATCATGCTATTCAAAATCAAAAGGGCGGATTTGTCCCAATGCAGACCGTTGTCAGTCAAGTTAAAAAAATACTTCCCAAATGTAGTTATCTAAGACCTATAATATAATGTATTTGCTATCCATATAACAATAATTAGCCTCATTGGCTACATACCACATACCATTTTGTGAATGATTTTGACATGAACGACTCGTGCGTAAAAGCCTCGCAGTGATGAGAGAGACGAGTGTAAAAAAAGTAACCAACCGTGCAGGCAGAGGAGGGTCCGCCTTGCCCGCCACGAGCCAGGACGACCTGTGGTAGGCGTATCGGTAGCGTTTGTTGTCGACGGGAACAATGTCCATCAGCACGATATATTTGGCGTCCGGGTCCACCCCGGAGAAGGACACACGGATGGTGGGGAACATTCTTCTGTTGGAGGGGAAGAGAGACGGTAAACGCAACGACTACACAAACCCACGCCAACTATTTTCGTTGAGAGATAAATATTTACTCAAACCTAGGCTCCAAGTAAAATATAAGATGATGAGAGTCATATTTCACTGAATTCCTTCGTCCATAAATCATTCTCAATAGCTCCCGTTTTGTATGAGGTTTACGTGTTTCCTTTATCTGTAGGCTATTTGATGAAACATGTTTTTAGCGTGAGGCATATTCCCTATATCTTTTTTAATAAATATTCATGGCAGGGAGAATATTTGCCTGCAATATCTTTAGAACAGCATGACGTTTTTCGAGGAAAAGTATTTTGCTTAAATTATGTTAATATTTACATAAATATGTTTTTATTTCTCAACATTTAGAGTTGTAAATCGATTACATAATTACCCTTAGGCTATAAACATTTCCACACATGGCAGATGCGCTACAATAATTTGTGGTGCAATTATCGCACAGTTTACATATATACAAAAACAGAAATGTTATCCATGCGCTTGCATGTCCATGTAAATCCGTTTTATCACACACCAGGCCTTTAAATACATCACTACCCAATATTCACCTACAGAGCTTGTAGGGTAAAAATGAGCGCTTATTTATGAATACATTTTAAATAATGTGATAAGGACACAGAGGTAGCCTAATATTTAACCCAGCTTCATTTGTAGTGGCTTATATTTATCGCACAGTTTACATATATATATATATATATATAAAAACTGAAATAACTGCCGAAATTAGTCTTATTATGGGCTACACCCCCCCCCCCCCCCCCCAAAAAAATAAATAAATCAACTTGAGCCTGAAAATACAAAACAAAATAGGCCTACGTGGTGTCGATAATATAGGACCCACAGAATATAACATGTAACACTTTTTGTTTTTGCAGTGAGAAATTGAAGTTTACCTTCCGGATTTTGTGATGATCATCTCGGTGCCGAGATCATGGAACTTGTCCCAGAGTTCCTTGGTCTCTAAACTGCAGGAGATTTTGGCCATTTCCTCGCTGGGCACACTGGGGGTGGTGGGGATGAGCGGCTCCGTGCACACTGCAGGCGCGCTCCCGCTGAAATCTCCGTGAGCATCTAGAGAAGCCAGCTCTCCCAAACCCTGGTTACAGGAGGACTTCTCCACGAATTGTTCTATGGATGAAAAACCACCATGTTCAAATGCTGGTTTCATTCGTTTATTTTTACACCAGCCAAAACATATATATATATATAATACAAGTAGCCTAATAGACGTTTAAAGAAATGTAAAAACTCATTGTTTCAAAAATGTCATAAATTGATTATTATTATTATTTAGCTTTAGAAAGTAGTCGAACGAATTATTGTATCAATTAAACACAACTAGCCTAGTAGCCTATAGATATATAAATTCCAATACAATGTATTGTATTCAAATAATTAAAAACATTATCAAAACATGTAGGCCCAAGGGTATTTGACAAATGCAAGAATATATATTAAAAGTAAGATTAATGTTTTTTTCTATTTGCTTTCCATTGAACGACATTACATTTGCCTACTACAAATGTCAAAAGTGCAACTGAATCACAAAAACAACATATTGGTTATTTCAGTAGGCTACAAATGGCCACGCTATTTCGAAGAGATATTCAGTTAAATTCAAAACAAACATTTTTTTCTCACGATGATATAGTTCTGGGTAACAGCAATGTCCGTGTTATATTTCCCTGTCAGTAATTGCATACAGGTCTAGTCAACTAACCCATGTCTCCATCTATTCACTGAATGCTAATATTTATCTGACAAAAACGTTTGATTTGACCTTTTTCTTGGATAAATTGAAAAGTAAACTTGATTGAATCAAATATTCAGTAACATGTTAGCAATTATTAGCAAGCACCACTACAGCCAACACAGCATGACATTTCTGGATAGAGAAATGTTGATATCTCTGTTTCATTAGCCCATACACTTTTTGTTGACACTGGAGACAATCGGTTCTTTCAGAGCCTTTTCAGTGAACCATAGGCCTACTGAATACATATGTTTGTAGGCCTACATGTGTAAAATCCATCAATACTGTTTTATGCTCATGCAATATTGCTTTATGTTCGTATCTTTTATTTCTTATTGTTGTTGCATTGTCGAGAAGGAACCTGCAAGTAAGCATTTCGTTGGACGATGTATATATATATATATATATATTCAGCAAAAGTTTCAGTTTCAAGTTTTATTAGTCGTATGTACGGGATACGCATGCCATGCACATCCCCTACATATGACTAATAAAACTTGAAACTGAAACTTTTGCTGACAGTCTATGAACGGGGTTATACACTGCCTGATTTTTGGCCCAATATTTTGTGAAAGGTTATAAAAACATAGGCCTACCATCATGTCATGTGTGGCATCTTAAATTAAGGTCTCAGTTATTTTCCAATAGGCCCATTGAACATTATGGCTATAGAAGTAGGCCTATACCTATAGACAACCCTTTCTTTCGCCATAGCATAATCGAAGTCAAGATTGATTTCAACAATCTAACAAACAATATTGCCAAGAAAGCTATCACGCTCGATTGTAGGTTATATTGAAAATGTGAATTCTATGTAAGGCACTGCCAGTGGACCCCGTGAAATGGGGGCGCGATCTGCTTACCAAGTGGCTTGATGGTGTTTTCATCGGTTTCCTTGTCCTTCGTTTTTCCACTTGACATGAGAGCGGCTATCGAGAACGCGTTTGCCCTGGAGGAGAGCTGTGGCTTCGGGGAAGAGGTGTACTCCATGGTGAGAGTAGTAGAAGTAAAACGTCCAAAAGTACAAACCGTGAGCTCTGTAGTTGTATTGAAAGGCTGCACACAAAAACGCTGAAAAATGGAAGCTACTTCGACTGTTTTATGAACAGGTATGCGCTTCGCCTATTACAGAACAAAATTAAAACACTCTCCGTTTTTGACTCGTTGAACACATTGTTAAAAACCGACTAATCGTTGTGCGTCTCCACTCCAGTGGCCAAGTCTTCATTGGGACTGTTGAATCTTTGCACTGCTCTTAATTTTAGCCTACCCCACTCCCCCCTCCATCGCTATCGTGCGCAGCCAATCGCCGCCTCAGTATCGACGTCACATACTGTCCTGCAAACTGAATCGAAGCCCAACAGCCTATTAAAAACACATTTCCTTCCGATTCCGACCATTAGCCCAAATCTAGAGGGAAGCTAACCGCGACACGACACTTCACACATCAAGAGATAGGCTGACGCATTTTTTTTTGTTGTTGCTTGATTCGATCAGTTAATGTAGCCCATTGAGTGATAAGATGATATGTACACTCATCTCTAATTGAGAAAAAATGCTTCATTTGCATAATCGTCAATATTTTATTCCTAATCGTCATATTTTAGCCTTTACATTAAAAAAAGGTCTTAATGTTTAATTTCTGAGGTGGATGAGCAATCGTTTTCAATTTGTTCGCCCCATCAAATTCCCATAATGATCATTCTGTTTATGATTGTGGAAGTCTGCAAATCTCTTCGATACATTTAAAATCATGGAAGATGTCCTGTGTTCAGTGGTCATTTCAATTAATGTTATACCTACCCATTGATTCTTGAACAATATAGGCCACACTTTCTCACATATAATCCAAAATAATGTATACTGAATTGTATAGACTATGTTTTTTGTTGTAATTTGAATCCGATAAGTTTAACGAATCCTTTCTTCAGAATATATTTATGTTTATAATAGGTCGATACAGTTCTTGAATCCATAGCTTCAGAATTTGAGAGTTCATAGGCCTACCTTTAAAAAAACTTTCAACTTTTTGGCTGGCTAATTAACATGATATAATATAAATTTACATTTCAACTGGGATAATATTAGAATCTGCTCAAATAATCTATTCTGCAACACGTTTAATAATTTACTCAAACTGATTAATAATAATAGCTAGGATACAAACTATATCTATTTTTTAATTCCAAATAGAGAGGGGAAGAGATATATAATCTCGAGACACATGGTAGGCTATTTGACCCTGCAAGTGTTCAATGTTTGTGAGAATAGGCCTCCTCAGACGGACCACTAATGTGCAGCATTATAGAGTGCAGGGGCAGCACAGGCTTAATCTGTGCTATGACACACACCAGTGCGCACCTAATCTGGCTGCTCTCCCTTTACTCCTTCACGGCCTTCAGCCTTATGCACGAGCCCTTGCACCTACATTTGTTTATTTTTCGATTTTGTTTACATCCGATTGGACATTTTCTGGTGTGTTGGGTTTAATAGGCTACTATTATTCTTATTCTTATTCTTATTATTAGTAGTAGCAGTATTAGTATCCTATTAGTATTAATATTGTTATTATGTTTTTATAGCCTTAAGGCTATTTCAATACTGTAATCACCCCAGCAGCCTACTATATTTAACCAAAAGCTACAAAAACGTAAAGAACGTTTGTTTAAAGGGGAAAGGGGCACTTGCACATAGTTAAAAAGCAGGCAATGTCCTCGCCTATTCTGCCTACTATAGTTATAGCTTGCGTATAACATGTAGGCCTGCACAACATTGTAATAGCACATTTCCTTTAGTAGCATAGCCTACATGCAATCTGTAACATTTTCCCAAATAATATAGCCTAAAAATGTGTATAATAGGTCTACACTCTTTGAAAAAAAAATTCTGGATAGAACCAAAAAGGGTTCTACGCTTGCTTCATATATGGCACCCTTAAGGTTCTATATAGAACCGAAATTGGTTCCATATAGAACCCTCAGGAAGAAGAACCCCTGGGGTTCTGATCAAGTAACCATACAAAATAACCTTTAGGTGTGCCATATATGAAGCAAGCAATATAACCCTTTTTGGTTCTATCCATAACATTTTTTCTAAGAGTGTAGGCTGGGCTTTAGCCTTATACCTACATTTAGAATAACATTGTGCTAAATGCAAAATAATTGCCAGGCTAGAACAAAACCATGGAACGCTTCCTCGCTTGCATTGCCTTCTCTGCCCCCCTCCCTGTCGTTGTTGAGATCCTATTTTCACATATCCGTTCTCCCCACTTGTCGCACTCACTGACTCATGTCCGCTGCGAGCATATAAATATAGCCTATATTTCAAAAGCGCTGACTCCCGTGTTTTCCGGGGTGGAGGGATCACCTCTCATCCTCAATGTCACTCACTCTCACGGAGAGATGGGCCGGCGCTTACATAAACACTGAGGTAGGAGAACCACAGGGCACTAAACCCATTAAGGCGACTCCCGAATGCAAATACGATGCTGCAGATATTTAATAAGGGACCTGTGCTGGCAAATTTCATTACCTTGCAATTGCCAGTGGTTAATGTGCTAAAAGCTTTCCCACTTAGCGTAACTCCTTACCGAATATTATTCACACTTTGGGGGCCGGGTGGACTGGTGGCTGAAGGCGACTCTTAAAGACACAGCAAACCAGACAGCATATCCAAAAGCTGGTGGTCATTGGTTATTATGGCCTTATAGGCTACCAGAAGAAACCGAGATGGACCTGTTGGACCTTTCTCCCATTTTGTAGGCTAGCTTATATGACCCTCATAATAATTGGAATATTAACACAATCGATGTGTAGAAGTATGTATAGACTATACATTCTTTCTTTCGATGTTTTGAATGGAAGAGGAATACAAACATAAGGAATATAACGTGTCAAATTCCCCATCGAGATTAGCAGTGGCTGTGCCCGGCCTTACTAAGCTGATTTTGAAACAATCTATGAAGGTCCAAAGGTGCGGACTTTCCCTTCCGTCCATACATCAGCTGTCATCCTCCTGAACTGGGAAAAGGGACATCCATTCGTAATCCAACGTTTAAATATGTATAATTTTCCATTAATTAGTAATATTTTATGTATGTAAAGTTGTCTATCCAAAATTGTGCATAAGGGAAGGATCATGAGGGAAGCATCTAACGGCATTTGTGAGGTACTTTTTCCTCGTACTGTTTATATAATCAATATGATCTATATTTTCATCTAGCTCCTTATTATTTGAGAATTATTGTTTATCGCTCAACTAAGAAACAGAAACACTTCTGCTGCATGGTGTTAATGACGTTGACATTTCTCCCGCGGCTTCCACGGAGGGCTTCCATATCAGTACCACTGGGTTTCTTGCATGCAACAACCCACTGGGCAAAAACTGGTTGAATCAACGTTGTTTCCACGTCATAAAAAAAAAAAAAATCTAGGTGATGAAGTTGAATCAACATGGAAAACTGATTGGATTTGAAAAAAAGTAATCAATGTTAGGGAATATATATTATATATATATATATATATTTTACCCAAATGTTTACCTAAATCCAATGACACGGTGAAATGTTTTCTTGATTTCCTGTCGAATTCAGGTTATTTGAAATTTCAACCAAATGTAAATCAAATCTAGACATTGAACTGACATCTGTGCCCAGTGGTAAGGCACCAATTGGGATCGTTCCAGATAGCAATATATCAATGGGTTATATCTACAGATACAACTCTGGCACTTAAGGGATATGACGATCAAAAGAGTTCAGCAATTATTTCGGTGGGAGAGCTGGGGCCACATGTAAGGGTCAGTGCCCACGGAATCATAACATATCCCGGAGGAGTGGAATTGAGGAAAATAATCGCCAGTTGATTTAATTGAATCCCTCGATGTTAGAGCCACAGTAATGAAATGGGTTGTAGTGGCCAACACCCGACCCGAACCGTTCACCGCCCCCACGATTTTTACCAGATTACAGACCATGGCAAAAGGGCGAATATTTGCCTACAGATGGAATACATTTCAACAGTACTTTTTTTAATCCATGCGCTTGCATGTCCATGTAAATCCCTTTTATCACACACCAGACCTTTAAATACATCACTACCCAATATTCACCTACAGAGCTTGTAGGGTAAAAATGAGCGCTTATTTATGAATACATTTTAAATAATGTGATAAGGACACAGAGGTAGCCTAATATTTAACCCAGCTGTATTTGTAGTGGCCTATATTTTCATGAAGTGTCAATAACGTGAAAATTACAGCCCAGTTATCTTGTGTGTGTTTAGCTTACTCAACTAAATCATATTGGAATATCTGCTGAATTAATGAATTGTCATTTTCATTACACTTTTCCAAATAAGTTTGATTGCTCTCTGTGTATGTTAAAACATACACATTTATCCATTCATAAACCAGAACAGAAACATGTTCTAAAATACACAATTACCCCCCCTCCCCCCAAAAAAGAAAAAGTGTCCATAGACATATCTTGCATCCCAGTAATCATTTATTTTCATTTGTGCATTTAGCATGAAATATTTTGAACCTATCACAAATCCTAGACTGTTTTACAAAAGAGGTGACCAAAAGAATGAAACATAAAAAATGAGTATCTTTAACCCAATGCTTGCACAGTGATTTGTAATCTAACTGAGGAATCAATGGTCTCCTTAACACCTGTTTAAGTCCCATGTCAAGGATAGAATAGATTTATTGTCCTCCGTGAATGAAATAAATATAATTTTCCCTGACTGCAGTGAGAATACTTTGGTTAGCCTCTCCCTCTTGTTTCAGCAGAATCCCTCCCTCCCTCCCTCCCTCCCTCCCTCCCTCCCTCCCTCCCTCCCTCCGAGGCTGAGACTGAGGCATGCAGTGGCAGAGTGGTTGCCTCCGTTCATATGACTAATTAGAGAAGCTTCACGCTGCGCTGTTCCTTTTGATGCTGATCCCTGGTGCTAATTGCCACGTCCGTCCCAGGGCATGGCGAGGTTAAG